AATTCGACATACTTTATCTTAATCAGGATATCTCCATAAAAATTACAATATTAAATTATTGAATATCAATTTCAAACTAAATATAATTACTATAATTATTATGTATTCATATATTATAATTATAAATCAAATAACTAATCGGAATAAAATTGAGGGAAAGTTAAGCTAAAAGTTTGAAATTTTATACGAATCTTACAAACGAGTATTCGACTGTAAGGTTATAACTATAGCCTTTTACACATACCTACGAATCACGTGGAATCACGTGAAAGATATGGGGTAAGAACTTTTCTCACAATGAAAATAAAAATATGGTAAAGATGTATTTTGAAAGGACTAGTAAAAAAATGTCTTCTGTATATTTCTCCTAAAGACGAAATCCTGAGAATACCACTAAGACAAATAAGTAGCTAAATTAGGATTAAAGAGTAAATAGTCTTTAGGTTTACAAAAAAAATGATAGATAAATTCCAAAAAATATTTTGTAACTAAGTTTTATATATTTATTGGACGTCTAAAATTAATCCAATTTCTGCTAATAGATGAAAAATGAGGTAAATGTCAGAATATTCAATATTATTCTGCCACATACCATAACTTATTAAATATTGAGAATTCACTAATTTTTATTTTATTTTTTTAAATAAGCCTCGACAAAAAGGATTATTGGCTACTTTTTTTTCGCTTTTATGGTCTTTTATGTAACTTCTACTTAAAATAAAGTGTATTAATCATGAACACTTTGGAATGGGTAATTAGTCCTTTACCGGAGAGAGTAATGGCGACTCTAATGACTAAACTGATCTCTCGCTCAGCAAACTGAGCCTCCTGAAACAGTGCCCATCAGGTACTGCTACGTTAGCAATTCGTTGGGTTGGTTGGTTTCTATGGTATTGTAATTGTGAAGTATTTAAAATTTCAAAATTTGAGAGTTTTTTTATGGTGATATCTTTAATTAGATTAAATTTGTATTCTTTTGATGCTTATTTACACTGGAGAAAACAAAAGGATTGAGGTCAGATTACCCTTAAAAATGAAGAAAATTATATATAAATATATTTTAGGTTGGGTTATGATATATTATAATATTTATAATATATCATAAGTGCCATAAACTTAAGTTTATTCATTTTCGATTATGATAAAATCATAGTAACTATTATAATAACTGTTATATAATTTAAATACTTGTAAATAGTATTTGGGAACATGATTGTAAGGGGGCGATTGCTCCTCCTTTGAACCAGTGCTATCAGTATTTTTTAAAGACAATTTATATGAAATATGGCTCTATTTTTTTTATTTTATTGGAAAACCAATAAATTAATTAAACTTTTTTTTCCTTTTAAGTGGAGAAAATAAAACAATCACAAAATTGAAATAAATATTTTTAGCTGAATATTTTGAACTTTATTGCAATAGGATACTTAAAAAAAATTATTTTGGTGTAATCGGACACAACTTTATCCAACATTAATCGTTACTAGATTTACACTGCCTTCTCTAAATTTAATTTTTAACACAATAATTTTCATCATGATGGTTAAACCCTTATCACTTCTTATACGCGTCCTTGATTGTCAAAATGAAATGTGGGTACAAAACACGTGTTATCATTGAATGAATTTCTTAATAAATATTAATTTTATGGTTATATCAAGGATTTATTGTATGTGTAATTCAATTACGTTATATAAATATAGTTTTGATATGCTCTATTAACCTAATTTATAGGTCAATTAGTTTATTTTTAGAATATATCATTGAATACTTCTAATATTGAGATACGTTAACATAAAAGTGCCAAAGAAATAAATCAAGAATATTTGATCCTAAGTAAATCCTAAGTATATTNACATAAAAGTGCCAAAGAAATAAATCAAGAATATTTGATCCTAAGTAAATCCTAAGTATATTTATAGAGGGGTAGTCAATTTGAAGTACACTTAGAGAATTTAAATAATTAAATTTCTCTAATATAAATATTTAAATGGCGATTCTATATATTTTTTATATGATTCCGTAAAAATACCACATGTTTTATAAGCATTATTTTATTATTATTTAACTTCGCTCCGAAGCTGAAAAAGTATTAATTTTACTATATGTTTTTTTTTGTGTATATTACCATTTTTAGCTCTTTCTTGAATGATTTCTTTCAACAATACGTCTAAAGATTACTAATTGTTCTAGTCGAAGATTTTGTTTTAATAACTTGAAAAAATTCCCTCGTTTCTCGTAAATAGGAGATATCCTCCCAAAAATTACAATTTTAAAAATTGGTAATTTTCAACATTTTTTTCTTAAAACTGTCATATCATTTTTAAATATTAACAAACGTATTTTAGCTTCGATGCGAAGCTGAGAAGGTATTGGTTTTTCTAAGATGTGTTTTTTTTTTTTTTTT